TTTTTTTTTTTTTTTTTTTTTTTTTTTTTTTTTTTTTTTTTTTTTTTTTTTGGCAACAAAGTTTCTCTACATAGCCCTGGCTTTTCTGGAACTCATTATGTAGGCCAGGCTGGCCTTGAACTCATGAGATCTGCCTTTGCTTCTTGAGTGCTGGGTTAAAGGTATGTGCCACCACACTTGGCCTAGTTTCTGCTGTTGTATAAAGTGGTCTTTTAACTAAGTGCAAGTTCATTTTATGGGCTGTTTGGGGCATGTAAAGTTAAAATGTATCACTAATTGGATGTTTTTGCCACTTTGTTTTAAAAGCAAGAAAAACGGATATTTACAAACTTACATCGCCAGCTCTTTTGTTGGATTGACAAGTGGATCGATCTGACAATGGAAGACATTAGGAGAATGGAAGATGAGACTCAGAAAGAACTCGAAACAGTAAGAATGGTTGTGGTGGTTCTGTTTCCCTTTATAAACCTGTATGTTCTTAGCAAGTGTAGGCTTGGCGTTGGACAGAGTTACTGCAAGCCGTTTCTCACCACGTGTATTTTCATCCAAATGGAACCTTTCGGACACTCCTGAAGGTGGACTAAAGCTTTCTTAACCTAAAATATGTTCCTTGTAAAAACATCCCAGTGCTCTTTGTACTGGGTCTTGGGCATCAGTTTTTCTGCAACAGTACCTGTCTCGGTCCTTTTCATTTTACATCGAGATGCCTTGGGCTCAGCTCCTCGGTAGGCAAGGTGAGGACAGGGAGTTCACCAGTTCCACCTCCCACTTAGCAGTAAGCTTTTCTTCCTTGAAAAACTCTAGGCAGATTGCAGTAGTCCTTGACAAGAGGTCAGGGTATAGTTTCGTGGCTAAACTTGCCCTAGCTCCTGCCCATAGCCAGTGGGGCATCTGCACTCTTCCAAGGCCATTTTCCTTAGCTTCCTCCCACAAGGATTTGGTTTTGATTTTTCACTGAGCCAGGCTTTTCTGCAGTTGGTAGTTTGTTCCCAAAGTGGGGAGTAAATCCAGGGCGTGCCTAGGGCCTTCAGGACTTGCACACAGTCACCCTGAGGCCTACTAAAGTTCCTGGCTCTGCCGGCCCCGCAGGTGTGGTATCTGATTCTATGAGACTAGAGCCCTCACATCATCGGAGAGTGGTGGGAAGTCAGGCTCTTTGCTAGGGAAGGAATGCTGTCTCTGCTATAGCACAATGAAGAATTGTCTGCAGTTGGTTACTTAGGGTGATCAGAGCAGGCCTGCTTCTAATTAGCCTTATACCAATCTTTAGAAAGGAGTAGGCTATATGTTCTTAATAGGGCAATAGAATGTTTTAACCTATCTTATATTTTTATAAATGGATTTTGCTCCAGATTATTTTAGGTTGATTGAGTTTGGAATGTACTTTTCCATAGAGACAACATTATAAAGGGGTTGGTTTTTTCTTGCTGCAGCAAAGTTCTGAGTCTTTGGAGTAGGGTGGTGGAATGATCAAGCCTGGGTCATGCTGCTCTGGCCTTTACACCTCTCTCACCCTGTGCTCCCTTCTTCTCAATAGTTAGGTGCTTCTCTGTAACTGGAGGTTTCTCTCTGCCCACCAGTTCACGATTATCCACTCTGAGGCTGTTAATTACAAACAGTTTGGCCAATGGCTCAGGCATATTACTAACTAGCTTTTACATCTTAAATTAACCCATTTCTTTTAATCTATGTATTGCCACATGGCCATGATGTTAACTCACATCTTGCTTCTCCTGCAGTGACTGTTGTCTCTCTGACTCTGCCTTCCTTCCCCTCTCACCCCTATCTCTCTGCTTGGATTTCCCACCTAGCTATATTCTGTCTGACTATTGGCCAAATTAGCTTCTTTATTAACCAATGGTAATAAAACATATTCACAGCATACAGAGGGCATCCCACATCACACCTTTAAGGAGCAGTCCTGGTGCCACCCCTCCCAGCAGGAAATCTTCCTCTGTCGTACCCTCCCTTCTAGTGCTCCAGATTCCAGAATATTCACTCCTTCTACCATCTACTCTGGAGCAGCTGCTTAAGCTGTAGCATGGCTGCTTACAGCTAGTGTTTCCCAAAACCTCGGGGTGGCAGAAAACCAACCTCAGGGAAGAACCTTTGCCCTAGTTGGGCGTTTTGTGTTAAACTGTCAGTTGAGGAAGACTGATCACCTGGTGACCAGGCCCTCGCACCCTGACTCCTTGGACAGACAGAATATGTCTGAGGTCTACTGCTCCCAACTCTTGATTCTTTCAAAGTTCTCAGCCTGCAGATATCTGAACACACCATGAGATCCCCTAGCCTAGAAGTGACAATTTCTGCTCCCACATGTAGCAAGAATTTCTTCTCATGCCTAGTCAAAGACTCTCATACAGTGTAATATTCTTAATTCACAGATACTTTAAGAATTGACTTTCTTTTTATCAAAACACCTTTAGACTTGAGAATACCTGGCCCCTTAAGTTGGGCATAGAAAGGACATGCACATGTATGCATGTGTATGTAGCCTGAAGTTTGCAGAGCTGTAAGAATTAGCCAGGTGGTGGAAGAGAACTGGCCATACCCAGGGGTGGATTGGAGGAAGGAATTGTTGTAGAAATACAGTATTGTTTGTTTTCTTTCTTTTTTCTGGTTTTCTTCTGTGAGTGTTTGTTTGTTTGTTTGTTTGGTCTATAAATGTTAGAAATGCCTGCTCTTTTGCTGATTTGTGGGTTTGTTTTGTTTTTTCCTAGCTGCTGTTTCTCTGTGACTCTTCCTTTGGTCCTTACTCTTTTCAGTAATCCTGAAAGCACTAAGAAACTTCTCTAAAAACAGCCAAGGTAGCAGCACCTTCACATCTTCCTGTCTGACCCAGAGACAGCAGTGAAAGGTGGACCAGACCATGCCCCCTTCCCCTGAAGCATTTTCTCAAAGCATAATGACAACTTCCCTTGGAAATGTATCCCTGATAATTTGCTACCAGACTGGAGGTCTTTGTTTAAATGCAGATACAGTTAACTTTTAAGGCTTTTTAAGGTAAACCTTACACAAGTTGGTTGAAGCCAGGACCTCAGAACTCCATCCCTTCTAGGTCTACATGAGAAGCAGACAGCTATGTAGTCATTGCTAGACCTTCTTTTCTCCACTTGCTTTCTACCCCTACGTAGAATCATTTTAGCAGCTCATGATTTTATTTTACATTTAGATGCGTAAGAAGGGTTCCGTCCGAGGCACGTCGGCTGCTGATGCCTAGATGAGTCCCCTGTAGGTCAGAGACATTTTCAAACTGTGTAAGTGAAGACCTGGGTAAAAGAATTTCTAAAAACCTGCGCCTTTTGGTGATGGGGAGTTAACTGCTGAGCGCACCACAGGCTCTTGTCTATAGTGATGGCATTCCACTTTTAGAATGAAGAGATGCCTGTTGTAGAAACTGTGAGCATGTATGTTTTGTGGAGCATTCTGTGGGCCAGGTTGAACGTCAGTTTCATCCTGCTGTCAGTGTAGTTGCTTGTTCAGTGGCACTGTCCTGGAAACTGGTTCACCTTTTGATAGACAACTGACTAGTGGAACCGTTTCTCAGTAGAACACTTTGCGGTTCCCGTGGAAGTCCAGGATCTCTCCTGCCACACTATCAGGCTAACTTCAGAAGCTCACTGTAGGTAAAGTGTTTTCTGTGTGCCACAGTCTCCCTGTTGACTCTCTAGTTCACTTCACTTTGTAAGCCTGACACTTTTCTGTGGTATTCCTACCAAAGTCTACATGCCCACATGACATTACCATAGGTGGAGCAGAGAGCATCAGATCCACTCCACAGGCACAGGCAAAGAATGAGAGCAGCAGAAGCTACTGTTCTGTGTAGGTGTCCCTGTGCTCAGACCTGCACTGGGCGTCCTTGCTGCTCCCGTCACAGAGCTGCCTTCCCCACATGGACTAAGTGAGAGGTGCTTGGTCATGCAGAGGAGCTGCTATGCCAAACAAGAATTGAGTAACACTTCTGAGATTTCCTGAAAGCCCTTTATCACTCATGTTCATTAAAAACAAAACAAAAACCGTTTTTTTGGGGGGCGGGGGTTCAATTATTGTCACTTTGATTAAGTACTAACTTTCAGTGATTTTTTTTTTTCCTACTTTGAATTTACTTTTCTCTGTGATGAAATAAAATGTTTTGCCTTTAACATGGCTGGTCTTTTTGAACAGAAATGAAGTTTTGGGGTGCCATGGTTTGGGGAACATTTTCTACCAGATATTTTTCATATTGAGTGTCTCAGGAGAGCCTGTGGCCTAACTTGCTGTTTGCTTCTTTACTTTCTTACAGCTACGGAGTCAAGGCCAAGTGAGGGGAACAAGTGCAGCCTGTGACGAGTGAAGATGCTACCAGTGTCTCTGTGTGATGTTTCCAGAGTGTGCCTGTGATGATTCAAGGGCACGTGTACACACACATATACACACACACATGTGTGTGCATGTGTGTGTGTGTATGTGTGTATGTCTGTAGCTGTATGTAAAACACATATGGCTAGAGGCCTAGATACACACACAAGTGTATATATGTATGTGGAAACATTGAAGGGATCAGTACAGTTTCTCCAAAGTACTGTACCTCTCTTCAGCAAAAATACTAAAGAAAATATTTTCAATATATAACCTGGAACGGATTTTAATAATCATCAGTGTGATGCCCTTGATGGATAAATGGACTGCCATGTGGTGCTGGCTGGCATGCTTCATGAATGCCAGGTGTGGACCAGTGTGTATAGTTTTGGGTTGTTTCTGTTTTTTCAAATCACCACACATACACTTTTTTTATTTTTATTCCATCAGCAGCAGACTCCTACAGAAAGATATCTTCAGATTGTTAGATACTCCAGTGAATCCGGAGAGTAAACTCTGGATGTTTTGGGTGTATTTGTAACTATTTATTTCTGGGTGGCCACTCTTTCAGCCAAATCCAACAATGTCTGTCGAGTAAGGAGTGAAATCAAAGCTCTTTACTAGATCACCCAAGGGGCAGGGAAATCTTTTTTTTAAAATTGTCACTTTTTATTGGATTTTTGTATTTTGAATTTCAAGTATTTTTCTACATCAAATCTAGCAAAAAAAAAAAAGTGATGACGGTTTGTGATTCCTATAAACACTAGACAATGTTCAGACTCTGGCTGAGCAAACACGGCGACAAAGGAAATAACCTTGATGGCATTGCAGTCACACAGCTTTTCTGTGGGGACTGTGCAGACCCTCCATGTTGCTCTGAGCACACTGACATTTAGCTCTTTGCCTGCTGCAGTCCAAGCACAGTTAAATGTGGCACAGGACTATCCCCATCCTGAGGCCAGCTCGATCCTGAGCATTGCTACCTACACTGCTTCCTTTTCTTCCCTCCTTTCTCCTCTTTTTCTCTTTTTTTTTTTTTTTTTTAAAGGAAGGAACAGTAGCTAGGTAAGATTTTTTTTTTTTAATTAACTTTTCTGTATGATGCTGTTTTCCCTTGTCAGTCCCAGAAGCCTGACCAGAATCATACTGTTGAAGCCCTCAGGTTACACACTGTCTTTTTAACCTACATCACCCCACAGTCCTCCATCCCCCATAGAACATATTACCCCCACAGTGAGCCCAATAGTAACTGGTTCCTTTGCTGACAGACTTGCCCCTCCTCCCTGTGTTCCCATGGGAGCAGCAATGACAGCACTTCCCACTGCATTGCAATAATGCCCTGTCATCCTCAGCAACAGACCCTGGCTTCCATGTGCCCTCTCAAGATAAAGGCTGGTGTTTTTTCTCTGGATACTGGTGGGAGATGGGTTTGGTTACATCAGTGAGAAAGGCACCAGAAGGGTCATTGCCAACCCCAGGCAGTGGAGAACCCAGTCTTTTCCCCAGTGAACCAATTCATGGACAGCTATAGTCACACTGGGAGTTTGGGCACACAAGGAAATGAGAGCCTGGTGTGGACTCTACTGTCTTCTAACAGCTGTGGAGATCGAGGGACATGGTGAATGTCAAATACCTGTTGACTTGGCAGTTTCTTGTGTAAACTACAGTAAAACAAAGTAAGTGAAATTGAAACAAAAATAAATTTGATCACAAAATGCCGCTTGTGTGCTTGAATGGCTGTTTCCCTGATGTCACTGGCTTGAGTTCTCTGGGTTTCAGCAATCCCACTCTGAGAAGGAGTGTTTTGCTGGTCCTGTGACGTGGCTTGTTCTTGACGTGGGCCCATGCCGGTCAGGTTATCACGTGGTTTCAGAGGTGTTTTCCTGTCCTTATGGGAAACTGAGTACTATGTTAGCCTCGGGAGTTTGTAAAAATTATTTTTAAAGGAAAAATTCAGAAAGCCTTTGTTTTTAAGTGCTCTGTCGGGCTCTGCTGTCATGTCTTACTGACTCAAGATCGTGTCTCTGGGATATTTCGTCCTTTAGAGCTTGGTTGTGTCTCCTGTGCTCTCCATTGGAGACAAGGCCTACTGCCTGAGTAGACTTAATGTGCAGGCTGTTTGCGGTTCCTTTCTTAGTGTTCTGTTTCAGATACAGCATCAGCATGCCTGAGTGTTTGTACACAGTCACCTGGCGCTCAGCAGAGGTTCTGAGGCAAATTAGGGCAGATATGCAGCCCAGTGTGGGAGGCAGGCATAGCTGGAACTGGTACAACACAGGTTGGCGTGATAACCCTTGAGGAGTACTGTTGGAGCTTTACATACTGGGCAAACAAGAAGTTGATCAAAGTACTTGCAGGCCCACCAGCCCTGAGACCTCCCAGAGCCTTTTCCTCTGCTGTGGAGGGCACAGACCTAGGCAGGTGAGACTTGGTAATTTTTTGACAGATGGCAGCTCTCTTCCCTGGCCTTCTGTTTTACTGTTCCACTAACTTCCCATGCTGCCTTCCTGTGTGTCCAAGGCTGCTCAGACCTATCCCTCAACCTGATGGTGTTTTCAAGTGGCCCAGCCCTATAGACATGTCTCCGGAGGTAAGAGCTGCTCAGCTCCCCAGCCGTCCTCGTGGAGAACATGCTGACCTTGCTTTTGGTCAGCAGAGCCACTAGAAGTCAGGAGGTGAATCTCAGAGGGTCTGTGGAGTTGCAGGATTCTAGAGCTTGGCTTGGTGTGCGTGGGAAGGAAGAAGAACAGTGGAAACCCAAGTCCTAGCCCATCTGTCTGTGGGATGCATTAGACAGACCTGCCCATACACTGCAGTCTTGTGATCTGATGTGAACACTGTAACTGCAGTCTACCTCACAACCCCTTAGAGGTTACAAAGTGGGAAAGGAAGACAGATGTGCCTGAGCCTTCCTGTGATGGCCGTCCTTTCGTCAGTCTGACGTTGTCATAGTGCAGAGCTTCTTCACGTTCTGACAGAACAAGCTTCCTGCACCCTGACAAGCTTATCCTCTCAGAGGCTGAAATTCCACACGAGGAACCTTCATGACTACCTCATGGAGTCATGTTCTGCTGAGTTAAGTCCTAAATTCAGATATGACTGGATTAAGAATGTCTCCATTCGCCAGGTGGTGATGGCACACACCTTTAAACTCGGGAGGCAGAGGCAGGTGGATCTCTGTAAATTCGAGGCCAGCCTGGACTACAAGAGCTAGTTCCAGGACAGGCTCCATCCAAAGCTACAAGAAAAACCCTGTTTCAAAAAAAAAAAAAAAAAAAAAAAAAAAAGTCTCCATTCCAGCCAAGGTCCTCTGGCTGTCTTAAAACCAGCCTGTGCCGCTCCCATGTCCATGAATGTTTTGTCATGCTAGAGGCCAATGGCAACAGCTGCATCCTAGGAAACGGATGAAAACCTTTACAGATCCACTTTGTCGCTGTCGTTTCTGTGGGTTTGTCTTGGTGCACCCCCTCTTCAAAAGCAGGAAAACCCCTGCCTCTCCCAGAAGGACCTGTCCCGTCCCTAGGTCAGGTGCCGCTCCTTCCAGAAGCTGCTTATTTGGAGCGTGACCATCACTATTGACTAGTGAGTGGAACCCTTAAATCTCACTTCACACCCTATGTTGGTGTGGGCACTCCTCAGAGTCACCTCTTGTAATGGAAGCTTCAATCATGAATGTCAGTTTTCGGGGCTAGGGAGATGGCTCAGAGGTTAAGAGCACTAGCTGCTCTTCCAGAGGTCCTAGGTTCAATTCCCAGCAACCACATGGTGGCTCACAACCATCTCTAGTGGGATCTGATGCCCTCTTCTGGCATGCAGGCATACAAGCAGTACACTCATACATAAAATATAAATGAATATCAGTTTTCCCCATAGCTGATGTCTGCCAGTCTAGTAGCAGGATGCTGGAGAGGATGAACAAGACTTCCCTTAACCCACAACACAAGGGGCAGTAACTCTTGAGTCTACCTTTTCTTTCTCCCCATCATCAAAGCCAGAGGCCTCAGAATCCACCTCCAGAATGTCAACGTATCACTAATGGTCACACTAGACAGGAAGCCTAACTGGTCCCTAAGCTTAAAGAGTGTTCCTGGGTAAAAGTGAGCCGCTGCTGCCCTTGTTCTTCCAGTCCAAGCTGTGTTCTAACCATCCTCATCTCAGAATTTCACATGAAAGATAAACTCACTGGATATGCTGGTGCACACTTTTAAACCTAGCACTCAGGGGAGGCAGGCAAGATCTCATGTCAGTTCAAGGCCAGCTTGAGCTACAGAGGATGTTCTGTATCAATCAGCTACACACTAAAGCACTGCCTTTTATTTTTTAAGGGATGTGATGCTTTGTGCCATGTTTTCTTGTTTCTATGCTTGCAGAAACATCCAGTGACCTTCATATAGTATGGTCCCCAAAACCATCATGGTAGGGCAGGTTTGACCAGTTCTCAGAAGTGTATGGGTAGTCTTGGACTCTGCCACAAGAATTGCTCTCTAGAACCTGTGCCTTGTTCCTGACTCCATGAGGTCCAGAATGCCAATCACCACTAGGTGCCTCATTCTGACGCTAGCCAACAGAGCCAACAACAGTCTGCTTCCCTAGCTGAGATATTCAGAGAAACACTAGAAGCATTTCATTTCCAGTCAGCGCAGACCTCAAGCTGCAAGGTGGTACTGCAGTGAGTACACAGAAGGCAGTGAAGATGATGCCGATTAAATTCTTGACGGGTGCTGCTCCTCTGCTGTGGTGCCCCCAACTTGTTACCTGGACTTTGTGCCGTGGCTTCTGAGAAGCTATGAGGTGCCTGACATGCTGTTTGTGTGTTGATCTTTTACTGTATGTTGATAGTAAGATATCAGCCTTCAGACCATGGGGGCGGGGGCATGGAGAAACACAACAGAGGAGTAGCTTACAGGATAAAAACAGAAGCTTCGCCTCTGGGTGGCCCATGGCAAGATGTCTCCCTTCATCCTTGAATGCTAACAGCATCATTTTAGTACCCCTCTCATAGGTGGTGTGCCCACTTCCCCTCCAAAGTGTGCTAGCATCCACTCCCATGTGTCCTTCCAAGAGAGAACTGGTGACCTCTCAGCTATAGTCCACAGCAGCTGTTTAGAACTGGGGCTGGCAAGCTTTCTGTACAGGGCTAGGTGTTGAGATTTTGAGCCTATAGTCTTGTGCAGCTGCCCTATGCTGCCCCTGTAGCAGGCAGATAGCCTTGAGCATCACAGGGCGAGGGGTGTGGCCCAATTGGGCCACGTGACACCTTGCTAATAATTCTCTAAGCTATCTGATTTCCAAAACTGTTAATGTCCACCAGTGCTGCCATCCAAGCAGTCCTCACACCAACTTTGCAGCTTGATAGTTGCCTGGAAGGCAGCTGACCCTGCACATCTACTAAAAATGGAGGCAGGTCGCCTTCTAATCAAGGGTCCCTCAGATCACCAGCTTGTCCAGACCATAGTTGTCAATTGCAGAACCCCAAGCCTCTGGCTACAGCTTTAATGCTCAGAATGTTTTGTTTTTTTGTCATCTGGTTCGTTTGTTTGATTTTTTTGAGACAGAATTTCTCTGTATATCCTTTTCTGTCCTGGAACTCACTCTGTAGACCAGACTGGCCTCGAACACAGAGAGACCTGCCTGTCTCTGCCTCCTGAGTGCTGGGATTAAAGGTGTGCGCCACCAGCATCGTAAGAGTATTTGCTCATAAAGTTCTCTGAGGCAGAGCTGAGCTTCTTCATAGTGGCATAGAAACCCTCAGGCGTAGTCTGTAATATTCTGGAAGGGACAGGATGGGGATGTGCTAGATGCCAGAGTCTCTCACCCAGCATGGCTTCAGGCAGAGTATGAACAGCCAGGTCTATTCTAAAATTCCACACTTGGAGGCCTCACAGGAAAGGTTGGGGGGGGGACATTCTGCTCCTGCTGAGGTCCCTTACCAGTGGCACCTTGTCTCCTCCCACCCCAGCTGGCTTTATGTTTGTGCTGTGGACCAGGAGGAGTCTCTAGGATCCTATTGTGTGTCCCTTCTAAGTGTGCTTGGCAGCATTTGGGGGGAGGGGGAGATGGCCTGTGAATATCTGGAGGGAGTTATGGGGAAGCTGTGGGCAGGGCTGTACCACTTTACCAAGGTATATAGCTGAAGCTGTAACACACAAGGCCTTGAGGCTACCCCCCCCCCACACACACACACACCCTCCACATGCCTGGCTTGCATTACCTTCTCTGGCTGGAGACAATATCAGTTGAACATCTGGTGGGCCATGAACTCAGTGCCCTGCTGTGTGGGGTCCAGAAATCTTAACAGGATTTCAGTCTTGCTTTTAGTCCATCTTGAGATTGAGCCCAGCCTGTGCATGTTAGTGCTGCCCGTGACTGGATATCACACCCCACACTAGGTCTCTCTCCTCCATGACTGTCATGCACGTGGCAGCCACCATCCCAGGGTGCTGGGATGAGACAGCAACCCGTGTTTCTCAGTGGGGTTACTGCTGTCCTGTTAGCCAGCCCTGTAAGTGTGGTCGACACCTTTAAGTCATAGAATGGACCTGGCTGCTCACACTGCAAGAGCTTTGGCATTTAGCGCATGCATCCTATGCCTGCCCCTCTACTTAACTGAACAATAGGTCCAGAATGAAGCCTTGGCCCATCTGAGCCTTGGTGTCCTGCCAGTGGAAGTCTCTGAGTAGTCATTACCAACATGGAACATGGCTCTGTGACAGGGAACA